GGGAAAAAGGTACGGGAAATAACAGGTACGGGAAGAAGAAATGAAATAGGCACGAGAAGTGGTTTAGACACGAGTCTCGAACCAATTCGAAGTCATTTAAAGCAAGCGGGTCGAAAGGCATTGAAGACATGAATCTGAAGACAAAAAGGAGTCCAAATTCAGTATTAAATACCTGATACGTTAGAAAATTGGTATTTAATTGGAATGATTGTATAACGGCTCATTTAATGTCATTTATTGTTTATAATTATCTCATTAAAGCTTAGATTTATTTCCTTTACCTAGAATCAACTATAAAAGGAGGAAATTGTATTGGAAAAAGGACATGACTTACCTCATACTAAAATAAGAACTTTTGCTTACTGCTTTATTATTATTCTCAGAAAGCCTATTATTATTTCGGTCTCTTGATTATCAGTAACCCGATTTTTCATCTCCAATTCTAACATTATCCAAAAAATTTATTTCTTAGGCGAAACAAATTGGTTCCGTTACGGGGAATCTGATAATCTATTCTTTTTAAGTTACATTTTATCTGTTGTTATCATCATGNATATTAAAGAAACGACAAAAATCGAGGATGACGGGGTCAATTGGGGGATCAAAACCCAAAGTAAAAGGGTAAGTATAAACAAAAGAGTACCCGATCCTAAAAGAAGAAATTCTTTGATTTATGGAAGGAATTGACATTCGAAGACTATTTTTCCAGTTACAGTCTTCTCTGATGGTAGGGATTGTAAGTTCGGTCACTAATGTAGGATAAGTATCAGTCTTTTCTAAACTAGCAACTTGCTTTTGAAGAGATTGTCTATCACTTACAAAAGATAAATCATTTGGTACGATTTCATCAACTAAAGGTTCCCTAGAAGAATCAGAAATTTCTTTACCTTTAGAAGAAGGAGTTTTCAGAATAGAACTCATAGAAGAAGAGCCAGAAGAACCGCCTCGAGTAGATTCTAACCCTGTACGAAGTCTGCCTCCTCTGCCTCTTCTATGTCTAACAGGAGCATTGGGGAATTTGTCTAAAATTGGAACTCTTTTAGGATTAGGGTTTGGAGACGCCATTGTTGAGCAAAGATAAATTGAAAGAGAGCAAAAGTAAAGAAGGAAAACGTTTGCTAAAGACTTATGGAGAAGAGGACAAAGGAAGAAAAGGTTAAGTATGTATATGATGGCAACCGTCAAACTTAGAAGAGTAATGATGGAAAGCCTATAATAAAGGCAACTATCACTTCGTGAAAAGTGGGATTAACGAAGCTTTGAAAAAGGGTGTAAAATAGCAGAATCAATCAGAAGGTGACACATGGGCAAAACATTAAATGGAAAAGACAATTGAGACGACAATATTGTCATACGCATTGATTATGGCAAAAATTCCTTTTTTACGAAGGTCCACTTTCCAATTATTTAATTGATAAATAAATGGAAAGTGGGGGGGACTATCTGTATTGGGAAAAAAGTTGAATTTATATTGAAGATGACGTGGCATGACACGTGGACTGGACAAGTGGTCAAAGCGTAACAGTTGGGAAAAAGGTACGGGAAATAACAGGTACGGGAAGAAGAAATGAAATAGGCACGAGAAGCGGTTTAGACACGAGTCTCGAACCAATTCGAAGTCATTTAAAGCAAGCGGGTCGAAAGGCATTGAAGACATGAATCTGAAGACAAAAAGGAGTCCAAATTCAGTATTAAATACCTGATACGTTAGAAAATTGGTATTTAATTGGAATGATTGTGTAACGGCTCATTTAATGTCATTTATTGTCTATAATTATCTCATTAAAGCTTAGATTTATTTCCTTTACCTAGAATCAACTATAAAAGGAGGAAATTGTATTGGAAAAAGGACATGACTTACCTTATACTAAAATAAGAACTTTTGCTTACTGCTTTATTATTATTCTCAGAAAGCCTATTATTATTTCGGTCTCTTGATTATCAGTAACCCGATTTTTCATCTCCAATTCTAACATTATCCAAAAAATTTATTTCTTAGGCGAAACAATGTTTTACATAAGTTCTTAGAAATATCTTTTCTTCTGAGTCTTCTTTTCTGCTTTGTTCATGGTACTTAAACTTAGTTTTTCAATGTAATTCAAGTAGGTTTTACTTCGGCCGATTCAATCTCAAACAGTATAAAGAGTGTCTGGTTATCTGAGTTTTGTTGCTCATGCCTCAGTTATTACAATCGCTTTTGTAAAACCAAAAGGAGGGGAACAGGGAATTCAGAACTGAAGTGGATTCGATTGTTACTTGTTATGACCAAATTTCTATTGGCTCTTTTCTAGATTTTGTAAGAAAGATTTCAAGCGGTTTAAGCCTTAGGGATACAAGGAGTAAAGAGAGTTCTATGATTCAAGAGAGAAGAGCAAGCAAGGAGCTAGGATCAAGGAATCTGTTTTCGCGCATTGGTCCATATGTGTATGGGGAACTAGGAATCTAAAAAGACTAAACTACGGGTTGTCTTTTGATTTCGCTGTCAATTTCTATTTTTTTCACTGATTTGATTGACTTGAGAAATATTCATTGTTATGATAGTTGGAACTTACTTTTAATTTTGTTTTGGTAATTTTATATACAGAGCTAAGTAAAAAGTCTTTGGCGTACCGTAAATAAGCATCCTCACGTCCCACGAATATATCTAATGTAAATATATATATATATATATATATATATATATATATATATGTGTGTGTGTGTGTGTGTGTGTGTGTGTGTGTGTGTGTGTGTATTACATTAGATTAAAAGCACGAAAACCCTTAGCTAAATGTCGTTCGTCTTTATTATCATCTAAGAAAATATTTTACATTTTATAAAATTGTTATTTAGTTATTTTTTTTAATATTTAGTACTTTGAAATCAACTAAATACCACTTTTGTGTAATCATGAAACCTTCCTTGTTTGAAAAAGCAACGCAACGAATGGAAAAACGAAGTAGGAACATAATAGCTGAACAAAATACAGTCTTCCATACCCCATATATTTTCTTCATTAGTGTCGTTGTATGTTCAATGTAATTAGCCTCATGAGACTATCATACATCCTCCGTTTTTAAGGGTAATTAACAGATAAAATTCTTGTAGATGAATAGATTGTATTGTAAGTGTAAACTTAGCAAATTCATCAAACTTCCAATATCTTCTAAGAACTAAATTTCTTATCACGAGTTTAATACAAAAGACAATAGAAGTGTAAATAGATAACTGTACAATATAATTTGATAGTTTTATAGTTTTTTTTTTAATTTTTGAGGTTCATTTATTTGCAGTACACGTATTATTGTTCTTTAATTAAGACGGTATATAGGAAAATTTATAATCTACTATTTTTTGTCTTTATGTGTTTTTCTTTGATTTAGAATATCGTTATAGGGTCTAAAGTTGAGAGGACTAATTTCACATACGAGATTTTCACTATACCCTTCAACGACTAAAGTTGTTCCTACAAGAATTCACTAGGACTGGACAAATTTGGAATTGGGATTGAGTTGTAGTAGAAATCAAGTTCCAAAGTGGGCATTCGGCTCATCCCTCCCTTCACGGTCGCATTCCTCTTAGCCATAGGGTTTTCGGGCCGCCTTGCGCAGCTTTAGAAAGGACAGAATTTCAGAAAGTCATTCTCTCCAACCTTTTCTTCTTAATTGAAGGTCATAAAGATGGAAGATTACCGTATTAGTAGTATCCAAAATAATAACAAACTAGGATTAAATGGAAAGAAACAAGAAAATGGAAGCTCTATAGCTGTTGAGTTTCTGTGACCAAAATGGTCTCTCATGATTTTTTTTATTAGTTTGACATAATATTAAAGTTTTAGGCGATCTTTTTTACTCTTTCTGTAATTTTATTTTCTATTGCATATTTTAACAAAACCAAAATACATATCATGCAATGCATCCTCCAGGTCAAACACTAAAAATAATAATATCGAGCTAAAGTATGTGTATTAGTTTTAAAAGGAATAAAAGGAATGAGTTCTTGTCATATCTGGACACCAAATTTGTTGGTAGAATAAATGATACTCTTATTTTACTCCTTTATTTTTTTTTTAAAATAATAATACTTTCCTTTTCTTTCCTTGAGCCGAGGGTATATTGGAAATAGCCTCTCTACCCAGAGGTAATGTCTGTGTACCCACTGCCCTCCCCAGACCCATTATACTGGATTTGTTTTGTTGTTGTTGTTGTTGTATATTTTTAAAATAATACCATTGCATCTATTGACGTCAATTGCTATTTTACTTAATTTAATTTTTCAGATACAATATATTTTAATTGTTTGACGCGGCATACATGTGCAACGCACGTACACTAAAACTAGTTGAAGTAATAAAGACAACAACTACAACAATAATATACAAGTAAATCCAAACTTACTTTTCATCGATGCCTTTACGGAGCCTTAAACCTTGTCCGGCCATAGTAACTCCCCTTTATATGCTTATATTTTCAATCTTAATTTAAGCTCCTCAAAGAATATTAGCAAGGCTTAAAACAATGATGACTTTACAAATATTGCTCGAGATTTTAAATTAGTCACAAAGACACAACGCGTGATATGTAAGTAAGATGTCACAAAATTAAAATCCCGGGGCAAACAAAATTTGATAATTAAGTTGATTAATAAAAAGAGAACTCTTCTCTGAATTTCAAACCTGTTTGTCAACTGAAATCAGTTCAAAGCTTGGATGTTGAAACTTGAAAGAAGTATAAAAAATTTCTAATAAAGGATGTTCAATATACGTTATATATCACTAAAATCTGATCTTTTAGCTATATATACCGTGTAATTTTTCGATGACCTTTGGCTTTATAGCTTCGCCCCTACTTGGGGGGCTTTTGCAATAAAAAGCCTTTAATGTTTTTGAGAAGTGTAGTTAATGGGAAGATAGAAAGACCGACGGATCAGTTTTGGTATTAGTTTACCAAAACTACCCCTCGTTCGTCTTTTTCCAGTATTTACATCAGTATGGTATTTCTTTTATTACAGGAAACGAAAGACCTATTTTTGGAAACTAACTCTCATCTTTTCCTCTTCAAAAGTCTTCTGAAGTACAGTATCTGTTCCTTTTTCCCACTGATCAACTCAAACAAGCAAGCCGAGTAAATTGCTGCGAAAGGAAAGAGAAAGAAAAAATTAAGAAGATTTTCCCAAATGGGTTTTCTCAGTTTTACGCTTCAGTTGATCGATTTCCTGGCTTGGTAAATTCATTTTCTTTCTCCATTCTTGTTTTTGTTTGGTAAAAAATGGAGTCTTGAGTAGTAGTAGTAAAGAAGAAAAAGAACACAAATTTCGCTAGCAGATTAGTGTTGATTTCTTTTTACCATTATACATATATACTTGCATGATTCAACGTATTCAAGTACGTATTTTGCATGTATGTGATTGTGTATTTATATTTTCTTTTGTTTTCTTGCTGTACCAAATTTGCAGGCCGGTACTTGCTCTGGGCTATCCTATGTAAGTTTGGGAACTCCCTATTTCTCCATACTAATCACTTCCTTTATCCTTTACAAGTCTATTTTACTAGTCCATAGATATATATATATGTAGAGGCGGAGCCATAATTTTCACCGAGGGGTATCAAAATATTAAAACTTAGATACACTTTTAAGGGGAGTCAAAATATAGTAAATATGAATAAAACAGAGAAATTTATCTAGTGATACAGTGTAATTTTTTGGCGAAGGGGTGTCGATTGACACCCCTTGGTTGAATGTGGCTCCGCCACTCTATCTAGTATGTGATCTTACAATTCCATATTCTGATTTAAGCCCCTTTTCTTTACAAATAAACCAACTTTTATTTTCCCAGTGAATCTCTTTTGTTACTGTAAGCATTTTCCTCATACAACATTTTTTAGTAGAAACTTTTTTCTTTATTTGAAACATTTTTCTCCATGCCAAATGCAGTGGCAAGCCAAGAATTTGAACAATGGGATTCAAAAACTGTAAAAATGTTACATCTAAGATTTTATCCAATGTCGAGGGCGGGATTCAATAATTTATATACATACATGAATATATCAAAAGTTTTGTTTTATCCTTTTAGCATAAATTGAGCCCCCTTCACTAACGGTAGTTAAGGCCGTCCCAACATGCACCCTAAGGCAGAACAAAGTTTCAAGTGTTGAATGCTTTATAATTTCCAGCTTTGGTTACATGTGTAGTATTTTTGGTTGTTACCAATTCTTTTGTGGAACTGCAGTTGTGCTTCAATCCGAGCGATTGAGACTGGCTCCAAGTATCACATGAGGAAGCTAGTCACATATTGGACCATCTTTTCCTTTATTTCTCTGTTCGAGCACCTATTAGAGAAACTTATTGAATGGTAATCTGCTGTACTCTTAGCTGGTTATACTGAGAGGGGCAGAAATTTATAACCTTTAGTTTGCGTGTTTTCCTTTCATTCTCCTTTTTAAATCATATGGAAATGGAAACTCTCTGAATTATTGACACTTAATTTAGATTAACTTCCAGTAAGATCATTTGGCAAAAAAATTCTGTTTATTGAAAAAAAATAAGAGCAAACTCAAAGTTGTTAATAGTTTAACTTATGATATCCTCAATTAGTGGCCTCAACTTATGAAACTACTCCTGTTACATATACTGATATCTTTTCATTTACTTTGGCAGGGTTCCTCTGTGGCCTTACATAAAATTAATTACCATGTGTTGGTTGGTAATACCTGAGTTTAATGGCGCATGTTATTTTTATCAACATCTTGTTCATCCATGTTTGCCATTGAAACTGCGCAATGTTATTGCTCAATTTTATGGTTCTTGTTATGTTTACCAATGCTTTGCATATTTGTGCTCGTTTGTCAACCTTCAAACTTTCACTGGCTGGTTTAACAAGCCAATGGAGGATCCATCTCTCAAGAATGAAACATTTCTACAGAGGTATCTTGAGGAAAATGGATCTGATGCTCTGGTGAAACTTATCTCAAACAAGGTATGCCATCTGTTACTTTAGCACGGAGTAGCCAGTTCATTACCAAATTGCCCGCACAGTTGTTTTTATGTACTTTAGCATATGAAAATTCAGACTACTAATCCATTTCAGCTGCCAAAAGATAGATTTCCCACCATTACAGAAGCAAATGTATGATTACATATTCGACTGGTTTTTGTAGCAACTCGAGCTTGCCTATTGTCTATTGATTATTTTTCAACAAGCATTAACTGTGTACTTATCGTGATCTCGTATTTTCAGTCGAAGGATTATATTTGGAATAATCATGCAGCTCCCGGTACTGTATGAAACAGTTTTTAACTTCTTGTGCTGCTGCTATTGGTGTTTTGACTCCATAATGATTTTGGAAGTTGCATTAGCAGTTGTGTGCAAGTTAAATGGTTTGTAAACACACAAACACACACACACACAAACACACACACACACACACACACACACACATATACATACATATATATATATATATATATATATATATATATATATATATATATATATACACACACATATATCATGCACTAATTTTTGAGATTTGAAGCTTCGTTTGAATAGATGTCGTGTACCTTTCAAGTTCCATCCCTTAAACTATTATATGTACATGAGCAATAGATTATTGTAATAAAATTATGCAGCTATCAATTTTCTCAAATAAAGCATCAAAGAGTCTGAATTTTCCTTTTGTTAACAACAGAACTAGTTACTTTCCTATTCTTTTCTAGTGAAAATCTTTCTGTCTATTCACTTGCTTTCATTCCTTAAAATCCCATAAATAACAATCATAGTGCATCTAATCAGACAGAGTGTGAAGGGATTGGTCCTGTTTGGGAGGATATCAAAGTGATGGAGCACATGGCAAAACATGAAGTAGCTGAGCCCAAACAGGTTATATCTTTTAACCCTTGAATTTACTTAGTTACTTTTTTTTTTTTGGAATATTATGTCTTCACAAGTATGCTGACAAGAGAGAGCTTGATCTGAAGCTTACTGTCTCTGTAGGCAAAATATTAGGCTCATTAATCAAGCTAAATGTGAAAGATGGCAATTGATAATGCACAGAGATCAAATGCATTATCATTTAGACAAAGAAGAAACTTTGTATATGCTGAAACAGTCGCACCTTGAAAGTTTTAACTGGTGCACTTTGTCAAATTAATCCTTGTTGAAGCTTGTATTAGATTCGTATGTATTAGTTAGATTCGTATGTATTAGTACGGTCTCGAGCCACTGTTTCTCCTCTAAATATTTGAAGACATTAATAAAGGGGGAGATTTACAACAGCTAGTACTACTTCGCCTCAGTCACAAATAAGTTGGGGTAGGATATTTAGGTGGAATCTAGCTCTGGCAAATTACCTAGAGTCCTTGCAATTTACTAAGGGAGAGACACAATACTCTTCAATTTTTTTTTAACATCAGTACCACATTTTATTCTAGCCTAGTATTTGTTATTCTATAATAAAGCAAAAGCAATAAGTATGCCAGTAATTAAGAGACGCCTGTGGAACTGCAGGTTGAAGATGTGAAGGAAAATCAAATTCATGTTGAGAAGAAAACGATAGGAATGCAGATCGAGGAAATGGTAGTTCCAGCAGATACTGAAGAGATTAAACTTCCAGAGATTACTTCTGTAAAGCAAGTTCAGACAGAGTGGACTTGTGCAGTATGTCAAGTGACAACCACCTCAGAGCATAACTTGAAATCCCATCTTAATGGAAGGAAACATAAGGCAAAGTGTATGGCCAAAAGTGAAGGAAGCTCACCTGTTACAACAAAGTCAAATCAGCTTAATCAGGCGCAAGTAAAACATGCAGCTGCACCACAGTCGGAGCGCAGCACTAATGAAGCAGCTGACCCCAAACAGGTTATTAATTTTTTAACGCTAGAACTTCCTTGGTCTTTCTTGGGATATTAAGTATTGCTCCGGATGCAATTGTTGAGCAAACAATAGATGCAGATACTCCATCTGTTCGGAAAAGAATGATACTATTTCCTTGTTAGTCCGTTCCAAAAAGAATGGGGCAGCCCGGTGCACGAAGCATCCCGTATTTATGCAGGGTCCGAGGAAGGGCCGCACCCAGAGAGGGTGTGATGTAGGCAACCTACCCGGATACAAGCACCAGTGGTTGATTCCAGAGTTTCAAAAAGAATGATACCTTCTATATTTGGAAATAATTTCGATTTAAATTTCCCATTTTACCATCAAATTAACATTCGCCACACAAATGTTATGGCATTGTTGAAGAATACAATTTCGTAAGTCTTATAAACGTTATTGCATATTTAATACCACAAGCTTTAAAAGTCGTACTTTCTTTCTTAAACGTCATGCCTAGTCAAACCTCAGTTTCTGCTATAAACATTTGAAGCCACTAAAAAGTTGAGAGAACTGAAGCTCTATGTTTTTAAACATTAGTACCACCTTTATTCTAGCCTAGCATTTATTTTTCTATGATAAAGCTAAAGTAATCCGTAGCCAGTGATTAAAATATTCCCTGTGGAACTGCAGGTTAAAAGTGTGAAGGAAAATCTAGTTCAGATTGAGAAGAAAACAACAGGTGCGCAGATCAAGGTAACAACGCTTCCAGCAGATAATACCAAAGAGATTAAACTCCGGGAGACTAATTCTTTAAAGAACGTTCAGAAAGAGTGGACATGTGCAGTATGTCAAGTAACAACCAAGTCAGAGCATGACTTGAAGTGCCATCTTCTAGGAAGGAAACATAGGGAAAAGTGTGAAGAGCTGAAAACTTGCAAGAAAAAGGCCAAAACTGAAAGAAATCCATCTTCTGCTTCAAATAAGCCAGACCAGCTTAAGCAGGAGCAAGTAAAACATGCACGCTCAGCACAAATAACACGTAGTACTAATGAAAAGCCAAAAGAAAAGGTCCAACTAGGAGCTACTGGACAATATGAAAAGCAGAAACAAGTGAAGAATGCTGTTGGTGTTACTCATAGTTCTAAGCTGTGGTGTCGTTTTTGTAACGTTCGGTGCCCTGGCGAGATTGATATGGCCGCCCATCTTAAAGGGAGGAAGCACTTGGCAAAACTTCAAGAAACAATGGTTTAGTTTAGGGGATGTACTGTTGAAGCATGCAACTTTGTTCAATTATTAATACTGAAATTTAGTTGCTTAATCAATGGGAAGGGAAAAAAAAGGAAAAGTTTATGTCAAAAGGTGAGATATGAGATATCATTATGTGTATAATCAGTTGGTGGTGTGAGCAATTAGAGCTTCTAACTTCAACTTGGCTTTTTGTTTCTTCATGTAGCAAAAAAATTTGTTCAGAATTGATAAGTTCTCTGATGGAAAAATTTGTTCTCAGATCGACTGTGAAGCCCCAAAAAAGAAAAAGTGATTTTCATCATAAACTTAAAAGGAAACATGTTTAAATTAATCATTGTTGTTTCATTGAGAATGGAGCTGTTAGTGGGATTGGGTTCAGTTGCTAATTTTCTTGAACTGTTAAACTGATCAAAGTCTGCCCTAGTATTTTGTTATGACTTTGGTTTCAATATGGAAAAAGTGTTTGAACTTTCCGTCTGCTGGCCTTTGACTTCCAGCTAAGGAGATGGACTTAGACTTGGCATGTTTTGGCTAAAGAAGAAATTCTCAAACATTCTCAACTATTGCCCAAGTTGTGGAGAGAGTATATCTTTTTCTTTAGAGTATATTGTTTAATGGGGAACCAGAATGCGAGAGAGATTCCAACTTACAAAATATTAGAAGTTCAACGTACACAATATAGTAACAATTATCAACTAAATGTAGGTGCTGCTTAAACAAAATGTACAAGCATATTCCTCAGACTCAGAGAATTTCAAAGCTTTCATTTCCCCTTCAAGAACAGGAATACTTTAATTCTTGAATAGTTTGGAATGTAGAGGGGAGGGGGTTGTTATTTCGATTCAAAGTAGACTGTCGGGACATGCAAACTCTCAATAACTTAATGTACGTAAAAGACTAAAAGTTGACCAAGACTTTAGACTGCTCTCTGGAAAGATATGAAAATGTCTGCCATAGAATATAATTTCAGTTTTCTAACAATCTGATAAAAATATCATCTAGCTATGGTTATTTTTGCCTCTTTATCTGCTCTCAAATACTACCTTGTTTTTCTTCTTGTCATAATTCCCTTTGTGACTTTGCTGTCCTTCAATTTTGATACTTTTAAACCCAACGATCAAAATGTAACATATGAGAGAGAGATGCTTATCCAGCAAATGGTGCAATTCAACTTACAACAGACCTGATCATCGTGATATAAAGCTAGCATCGGTCAAGCCACATATTCCAAGCCCCTGCATCTTTGGGACAAGGCCTCTGGAAATGTCACGGATTTCAGTACTCACTTCTCATTTAGCATCAATTCACAGGGTAGAACAAGATATGGTGATGTCTTGCCTTCTTCCTCGCGCCTGCATGTTCAAGAATTCCTGAGAACACAACCAGAGGTGGCAGTCTTGGCCTTACAAGTAATACTCAACGACTGAATACATCGAGCAATCATTTTGTAGCTGTGGAGTTTGATACGTACAAGAACGTCCAGTATGACCCAAAGGGTGATCATGTAGGTATTGATATCAACTCTATGCAATGTGTTGTTAATGTGACCTGGTTTAGTAGCATTCCGAATGGTAGGAGAACTGATGTATGGATTAGCTATAACTCGACTTCAAAAAATCTTACTGTTGTCTTCACCGGTTCAAAGATAATTTCACTGTCACTGTCCTACAAAGCCTATCTCACAATCTTGATCTGAGAGAATACTTGCCTGAATGGGTCACTTTTGGCTTCACAGGTGGAGCTGGACTTGTTTTGCATTACAAAGTATCTATTCTTGGAACTGTACTTCTTCATTAGAAATTAACGACAACATAATAAATCCAGGAGTAGTCTTACCAAGCCCCAAGCCAGAGCATGCACAGAGTAAAAACAAGTTAGGACTTGTGGTTGGATTGGTTTCTGGTGGTTGTGTTTTGTTTTTTGTATGTGTTTTGATGTTGTCTGCATTTTGGAGAAAGAGGAAGTTGAGAGAAGATGAAGACAATGACATCTTTGATGGATCTATGACTCGTGAATTTGAAAGAAGCACAGGACCAAAGAAGTTCCGTTACAGTGAGTTGGATAGATGTACGAATAACTTTGCGCAGGAAAAAAAGCTCGGGGAGGGTGGATTTGGGGGTGTTTTTAAAGGACATCTCAGGGAATTGAGTTCTCATATTGTTGTTAAGAGGATTTCAAGGGAGTCAAAGCAAGGAATAAAAGAGTATGTCTCAGAAGTGAGGATCATCAGCAGGCTAAGACATAGACATCAGACGACAAATTTGTCCATTGAAAACATATTAATTCTGAACAAATATTTCAAGTTTTTTGAGGGTGCAGACATCATTTACACCAAGTGCCCAGTATATTCCTTTTCAGATATTTAAATTTGGACAAACAAAAATGAGTAATAATTTGATAGAAAATGCAGTTCAAAGAGGGTATTGTGGTTAACATGGCAAAGTTTATGGGATACAAACTGAAATAACACTTAGACTTATTGGATTTTAAACAATCCGCCATCTGTCCTATTTTATGTGATCCACTTTCCTTTTTGCTCTTTCCCGAAAAGAATGATGCATTTCTATATTTAAAAACAATTCAACTTTAAACCTCCCATTTCACTGTTAATGAGATCACACAAACATTTATGACTAGTTTTAGACCACAAGTTTCAAAAGTCTTTCTTTCTTAAACTCCGTGTCCGGTCAAATAGCGTCACATAAAATGGGGCAGAGAAAGTATTAAAGCATCTAAGCCCGACTGAGCTGGTGCGTTGAGGCCTTGAGGGAGGGAAGGGTTGCAGCCAGGGGAGTGAGGAAAATAAGGAAGTGATTTCATCATACTATGAATAAAGTCAATCTAACCATGCGGCAAAATCTCCATAGCTGGTAAAATTAGCAGAACAGACAATTATATAAAACAGAAATGAAGAAACAAAAGGCCTAGCAAAAAATTAGAAACTCTGATGCCAACTGAATATACACAAAATGATATCTCACCTTTTGACACAAACTTTTCCTCTTTTTCCTTCTCAGTGATTAAACAACTAAATGTTCAGTATCGATAATAGAACGAAGCTCCCCCATGTGTGTTTGCCAAATGCCTCCTCCCCTTAAGATGTGCAGCCATATCAATCTCGCCAGAGCACCTAACGTTACAAAAACTACACCATAGCTTAGAATTATGGGTAGCACCACCAGTATTCATCACTTGCTTCGGCTTTTCATCTTGTCCAGTAACTCCTTGTTGGACCTTTTCTTTAAGTTTTTCGTTAGTACCGTCCTTTTCTTGTACAGGAAGCGCCGTTTCATTGACCTGTATACCTGTTATTTTCTTCTCAATCCAAATTAGATTTTCCTTCACGCGTTTAACCTGCAGTCACAAGTACATCTTTAATCACTGGCATATGGATTGTTTTTGATTATTACACAAAAACAAGTATCACGATAGAATAAATGTGGTACTGATATTTGAAAAACTTAAGAGCTTCAGTTCTCCCCCTTTTTAGTGGCTTAAAATGTTCTCAGGAGAAACAAAGGCTCGAGAACATACTAAGACAAATGAATCTAGTGCAAGCTTACAAAACGCATTAATTTTACAAAGTGCACCAGTTATGTTTCAGGTTGCTCAGTGATTCTTTTAGCACATACAAAGTTTCTTCTTGGTCTAAATGATAATGCACGTGGTATCAGCATCATTATCAATTGCCATCTTGCACATTCAGCTTATCTGATGAGCCTTATTTTTCGCCGTCATATATATTTAAGCTTCATCGTGCACTCTTCCTAACTTGGCCACTAATTGTATCACTAACACCTGATTGTGGGAACATCAAGCTCTCCTTTTGTCATCGATCACACTTAACAGCTTGCTTAATGTTTTCATCTATGGTTTTCTGTCCAGGATGATAACTTGTCGACACGTAATATTCCATAAAATAACCAAGGAAATTTTAAGGTTAAAATTATGACCTGTTTGGGCTCATCTGCTTCATGTTTTGCCATCCATTCCATAGCTTTGATATCTTCACTAACAGGACCACCCACTTCGCACACTGTCTGTTTAGGGGTACTATGATTGTTATACGGAATTTTAAGGAATGATAGAATGTGAAAAGATGAAATGATTTTCACTAGAAAAGAAAAAGGGTAAGAATGGGTCTCGTTGTTAATTAAGGAAAATTCATAATTTTTAGTGCTTTATTTGAGAAAACTAATAGATGCATAATGTAACCAATTCCTCGTGTATAAACAATGGTTTATAGGTTGGAAGGTACGCCACATCTATGCATAGGAAGCATTCATAAGTTTGCTGGAAATAAGCAAATCTCACAAGCTAGTGCATGATATCATTATAATATGCAAAACATTCAATTAGTACTAAACTGCTAATGTAATTTTCAGATTCATTAGCATGAAGGAAAAAACGCCAAAAAAGCAGCAGCATAAGAAGTAAACGAATGTTTCATACAGTATAGGGAGTAAGGTACAACAGCTGAGGCACCTGGCTGGGGGTGAGCATTCCTGCTTTAGGACTAGTGTCAGTAGTCTTGATCTCTTCAGCATGATGATTCAAACTATGATCCTTGGACTGCAAATAGGAGATCATGATATGTACATGGATAATGAGTGTCGGAAAGAATCAATTTGAGAACTGGCTACTCCTTGATCAAGTAACATCTGATATACCTTCTCTGCAATAAGTTTCTCTGGAGCATCAGATTCATTCTTTTCAAGGTAACTTTCCGCCACAGCTGTAGAACTCAATGGTTTTTGAAGTTTGACCGAGTAATCCCTCCCGTTAAGATCTGCAGCCATACAAATTTCGCCAGGGCACCACATGTTACAAGTACCACACCACAGCTTAGAATTATGATCGGAAACATCACCATATTCTTCAGTTGCTTCGGTTTTTCTTGCTGACAAATACCTGATAGGTGGACTTTTTCTTTCAAGTCTTCATTAGTACAGTGCTCTGATTGTGCTGAAGGTGCATGTTTTGCTTGCTCCTGCTTAAGCTGATTTGATTGCGTTGTTGGAACTGCTGTTTCCTTGACCTGTTTTCCTGTCGTTTTCTTCTCAATCCAAATTAGATTTTCCCTCACGCTTTTAACCTGAAGTTACACAAGGGACATTCTAATCACTGGCATACCATTTACTTTTGATTGATCATCACTAAACAGCTTGCTTAATGTTTTCATCTTATTAATTGCAACCAGAATAATATGTGTGAACCCATAATTCTCTAAAAATTAACCAAGGAAATTCAAGGGGGTTAAAAACTTGCTTCATTTTTTGCCATGTCTTTCATCGTTTTCATATCTTCCCAAACAGGACTAGCCCCTTCACGCACTATCTGTTTTTTGTTTTTTGTTTTTTCTTTTTTTTTTTTGCATAACGTAAAGGAAATTTCATCTGAAATCAGTACCAAGAAGGTAGTAACTAGTAAGAACTACAAAACAAGGAAAATTTCAATTCTCCACTACGTTCCATGCTATCCAAACCAAAATTTGTGTCATGCCCTCTAGCATATGAACCTTACACCAACAGTATAATTTTAATAAACATCTATTTCTCACAACCCTCTATTTTGGGGCACTATGATTGTTATTTACGAGATTTTAAGGACTTTGAACAGATGAAATGATTTTCACTACAAAATCTATTGTCAGCGAAGGAAAATTCACTCTTTGATGCAATTTTTGAGAAAACTGATAGCTGCATAATGTAACACGTAACCTATTGCTCATGTACATTCAATAGTTTATGACTTGGAAGGGACACTGCATCTATGCAATCGAAGCAGAATTCATGAATTTGATGGAAATAAGCTTCAAAAATTAGTGCATGGCACCATTCAACCCGTACAGAACTGCTAACGCAACTTTATAACTCATTATGGAGTGACAACGCCAGTAAAGCAGCACCACAAGAAGTTAAAAAGTGTTTCATACAGTACTGGGAGGTTAGGACAACAGCTGAAGCACCTGGTTGGGTGTAAGCATTCCTGCTTCATCACTAGCATCAGTAGTTTTTATCTCTTCCGCATGATGATTCAATCTATAATCCTTGGACTGCAAATAGGAAATCATGATAAGTACACTGAAAATGCTTGCTAAAACAATTCAGTGTCAAGCCAAAGTTGCTATAAACTTCAGTGGGGTATGTTTACGTTTGCTTCTGAAATGGTGGGAATCTAACTTTTGGCGACTGAAAAAGATTAACAGTTTTACTTCTCATATAACTAGCTGATGTACATCAAAACAAGTGTGCATCCAATTTTGTATTGAACTGGCTACTCCGTGCTGAAGTAACATCTGACGTACCTTGTTTGCAATAAGTTTCACCAGAGCATCAGATCCATTTTCTTCAAGATACCTCTCTGCCACAGCCAGAAATATTTCATTCTTGAGAGATAAATCCTCCATTGGCTTGTTAAACCAGTCAGTGACAATTTGAAGGTTGACAGACAAGCACGAATATAGAAGGCGTTGGTAAACATAACAAGCACCATACAACTGAGTGATAACGCCATCCAGTTTCACCAGCAAACATGGATGAATAAGATTTTGATAAAAATAACACGCTCCGTTGAACTGAGGTATTACCAACCAACATATGGTACTTAATTTTATATATGGCCACAGAGGAATCCTGCCAAAGTAAATGGAAAGACATAAGTATATGCAACAGGAGTAGTTACTCGTGTTCAACCATGTATATAGTACAAATTTCTCGAAATGCTTCAAGAAACGCTCCAGCTCTTGAAATCCTCAACTCAACAAGGGAATTTAAGAAACACAAACAAGATTAGACATCACTACCAATATAAATGAGCAACCGAAATAAGTGTATTATAAAATTTGAGCTTCACCTGAAAGTAAAAGTTTCTGTTCACAATTTAGTTCAATGAGTCAATATGAGGGTATGGATACATAAACAAAACGTAATTACCCGAGGAGGGTACAAGCACAAGAATTTGCATATGAAGCATATACTTATCCGTTTGTGTTTAGTATCAAGTAGATAAATGCCTACGAAGTGAGACCACTAATTGAGAATATCATAAATTAGTTAACCATTAATGTCATAGACTTTGCTCTTATTTTTCTTCAAAGACACAGGAAAAAATTGTCAATGATCTTACTGGAAGTTAATCTAACAATAATAAGTGTCAATATTGCCAGGAGTTCCTATTTTCATACAATTTAAAAAGGGTCAGAAAATGAACACTTGTACAATAAATGCTACAAATTTCTTCCCCTTTTAATATAGCCAGCTAAAAGTACACCACATTCTCATTACCATTCGATAAGTTTCTCAAATGCGAGCTCGAACAGAGAAATAAAGGAAAAGATGGTCCAATATGTAACTAGCTTCCTCATGTGATACTCGGAGCCAGTCTCTATCGCTCGGATTGAAGCACATCTGCAGTTCCAACAAAAATTGGTGAATATTACCAGCAACAGAAGAGAAAAATAATACACCAAGTAACTAAATTTGGACAATCGAACCATTCAATACTTGAAATTCTGAAATGACTTAGGGTGCATTTGGCGTGGAGAAAAAAACATGGCAAATGTTTTCCAAAAATAATTATTGTAAGGAAAAGGCTACCTGAAAAAAATTATATTCTCTGGGAAAGCATTTACTAGATTATTTATTTTGCCGGGTGTAGAAGTGGGTGACATGCTGGAGGATATAACATGCAAGTTACTGGTCCGAACCCAGTAGCTTTGGCTCAGACCCTGTATGTGTTAAAAATTCTACTAAATAAGTACAAATAATTAATTTTGAAACCAGTAAATCAAATGGGCTGTTGGTAGAATTTCAAACTCGAACCCACAAAGTTCGAATCCTAGATTCGCCTCTAGTGACATATGGTAGTATAAGTCAACATTTGGGATATTTTTGAAGAAAAAAGGCATCCATCCATATATGGCATTGTAAGATCACATACTATGTGCCAACACCCTAGGGTGTGTATAACCCGGTGGTCAATGGAGTGGGAGGAGAACTATGAAATTTTAGGTTCAAATCTTAGAAAGGGACAAAAAAACCCTAAGGTAATTTCATCGCATCTGTCTAAGCCTTGGTGGCCATTGTTACCCAATACCTGTGCTGGTGGGAGATAGCACTGTATGCACTAAGCTCTCGCTATGCGCGGGGTCCGGGGAAGGGACGGACCATAAGGGTCTATTTACATTTCTGCAAGAGGCTATTTCCACGGCTTGAACCCGTGACCTCCTGGGCTCCCCTTCTATGTGCCACCACAATGTGCATACTTAAATGGCATTGTAAAGAATAAATTAAAGTGAGTAAGGAATAATGGGAAGTTCCAGGACTTACAGAGGATATCCCAGAGCAAGCACAGGCCTGCAAATTTGGTACAACATGAAAACAAAGAAAGCATAAATACACAATCACATACATGCAAAATAAGTACTTGAATACTTAGAATCATGCAACTATGTATAACTGGTAAAAACAATAATCGGCCCTAATCTGCAAAGCTAAAATCTTGTTCGTTTTTGCCGCCTTCTTTACTACCTTCACAAGATTTTTCATGCCCAAGTATCCCTTTTTACCAAACAGCACTATAATGGAGAAAGTAAACGAACTTACCAAGTTAGGAAATCGATTATTAGAAGCGCAAACCCGAGAAAACTCATTCTGGAAATTTTTCTTCTCAGCTGGAGTTGCTGAGTTTCTATGATCAGTGTGAAGAGGAAAAGCAGTAAACAGTTTTCGAAATAGGTCTTTTCTTATGCAGTAATAACAGAAATACCCTAATAATGGTAACTTTGGAAAATTAATAAAATTGACCGTTCTTTAATCCCGTTAAATCAGATTTGTGCCCTAACAGTGTGTAGATTTTTACAGCCACTAGACTAAATTTTTTTACACCAAAAATAGAATAATCATATATTGTATTAAGTTAAATTATAGTATTAAGTAAAACTTAGCGTATCTATCTATATTATATATATATATATATATATATATATATATATATATATATATATATATATATATATATATATATATATT